AACTAAGTTTTTTTTCAATAAGATACGCAATAAATTTGCAATATGGGACCCTAGATCTATAAATTTAATTTTCGTAGTATTATCTAGTGGGTTAAAGATATTGTGTGTATTTATTTGTTTATATAGAGATTTGCTACTAAAAAAATTTAATTTTTTGTGATAATGGTGCTTTAACAAAGGCTCTAATGAGTTATACAAAAAGCAGAAAAAAATTATTATAGAAATTTTCTTTAAACTCATCAAAATTAAATTGCCATTATTCAAACCTACATTATATCTTTTTTATTCATATTTGTATTGTATTATATTTTAAATTTTTATATATTATATATATGTTTAATATGCTTATAGTATCTATATAACTTATTGCCACGCACACAGCTTTTACACTAATATAATTTTCTCTTTTTTTTATATTATTTTATGTACCTTACAGAACAACCCTAAACATTTTAAGATAATACAAGGATGTATACAAAAGTATCTTAGCTTCCTCAGTCTCCTCGTGTTTTTGGTAACTAATTTGAATGATAAAAAAATGTTAACTTTTATAAAATGATATTCTTTCCAAAACAAAATCAAAAAAAAAAAAACAAAATTATGCAAAATGCCAACGTAAGTTTATATTTATGTATAGAATGTGAGTACAACGTGCTTATTTAAGTAAATATGAGCGGAATGAATACATCTTGTGGCATTTAAATTATTCAAAAGAACCACCAATGTTGTTAACTTTATAGCTACTTGACCCTTTTTCATTTAAAATGACAGCATGAAAATCATCAGCAACAAGGATAATAACGTAACAAAGAAAGCAACTAAAGGAAACAATATGGGTGTAGCAAGGACTTGTATTTTGTAAACATTTTCAATTTTATACTCGCAAGAGCAACAAATACAATAGCAACAGTTTTATTTAAATACAAAAAAAAATAAAAAATTATAACACCAAGCTATCATGTTTGTAAAAAAAAGTATATAAAATAATTAAATTAATGTCTGGGTTTTATGGTTAAAGGATTTGACGCCATTAGACTCGAGCAATTATTTAAAGTAACATTTTTACATGAAAATAATATAATTTGCTATGTTAAAACTTTTAATTATATTAAAAATTAAATTATTATAATATTCTGTTATTAAGTAAAAAATAAAAAAATAATCATTATGCAGCATAAAAGCGATAGATAATTATAACTGTTGAAAAATAATTTTAATTACCGCCAACAGCAAATATCCTTGAGCTAAAACTTAATTACTTATAATGTTGTATTGAACACGTTTTAATTTAATAATTTTCATTAAGACTGTAAGTGTATTTTATAGTTTGAATTCCTGTATCCATGCTAGACGGTTAAGTTTGTTCAGCTTTAATACAACCCATTGCTTTTCATTGCAGCTATGAAAAAAACTACTAAAAATGACAGCTATGAAATTGGTTTACTATGTCCTGAAATATAAACGAAGGTATCAAATTGCTATAAGTGCTATGTCAACAAAAAGCACCTGTTTTTTATGACTTATCATAAAATTCAAATCAATTTGGCAGAAAAAAATATCGAATATGTTTGTTTTATTCGACATGAAGTTTACTTAAAAAAATCAGCAAAAAATTGATATCGTAAATGATGAATAAGGTATGGTATGCATTATGTCTCAGTATGTAATGGTTGATTGGTTTTAGTGACAACAGGACTAACTTTTCTATACAAATAACATATAGGCACAGTATGTCATATATGAAATATAAATTTTTTTGTGTTTGAGCGGAACAAATATGAACAATTAGTAGCTTTTGCTTTGATTTTCCAGTTCTCGTCTGGGAATGTTACAATAGATGCCATCAAAATATATCAGATCTGAAATTTACTTCTTGCAGTTTTCTCAATTTTTCATACCTAGCAAAAATGAAACCAATTTATGTTGGTTTATTTTTGTGATTTGCAAACAGTAAAATTGAATAACTGGTAGAACGCATTTTTGTTACCCCAGTTTATGCTATAGTAACTAAATTGGTTATTTCCATTTGTTTGGTAATAAAAAAGGCAGAACGTACTGCCAACAAAATTGCCAACACCTGCAGCAATTTATGTTTAATATATCTTTAGCAAAAATAAAATATATATGAAAACGTGCCTATTGAAGTATTTTATATTGAATAAAATATTATCCCTTATGTAGCATTTGGAAATAATCCTTTTCGTGTAGTTGTTAAGCTAAATACATGGGGTTTTATTATATTAAGGGAATAATATGTAAATTTTTAGGTACTAAGAAGTACATATACAAGGTTGTATAAAAAAGGTACCTTGAATATTTTGAGTACAAATTAGTTGATACTTTAGTAATATAATCAGTCATTTGAATGAAGACATCAATCAAAATAAATTATTAAAATTAAATATTTTTTTTTATAAAAGGTTTTTTTATATTGCTGTTCTTTGCTAATATAAAACTTATATTTTTAATTTTTAATATTTTAAAAAAGGAGTCATCAAAACTTATTATTTTACACATATTGTGTGATACATATATCACATATATATAGAAGAGAAATAACGAAATCATCTTAAAACAGGGCTCACAAATATGGCATACTGATGGGTCCAAAATGAAAGATGGCACGGCAGGAGCAGGAATTATAGTACGGAAATTCCGCAAACCAATCGCAATGAGCAAAACCGCTTTCATTTTTCAGGCTAAGGTCCATGCCTTAGAGCTATGTAGAGCCAAGCAGCTCTAAAATTTTAATCCAAACAAAGTTGGTCTGGGAATGCTTTCAACTTTTCTATACTATAGTATCGAGGAAGTATGTTACTCTTATGTGGGTATGTGGACATTAAGAGCATGAGGGCAATGAAATAGCAGACTCTATAGCAAAGAAGGGTGCATGCATGTTCTCCTTTCAATAGTCCAATCTACTTGAAGTCTACTTAAACACTGGAAATCCCAAATAGGCATGCAGCATAATAATACGTAAAATAATTTTCATCAATTATTGATAAGGTTTTTTTGTTGGTATGCTTTTTCTTTGCTCTTAAATGAAGCAACAAGACTTTGTATATTATTATATTAGCCTTAGCAATAAATTTATAATATATTACAATACTTCAAAAACTTTATATATAATCTTTAAGAAATATGCATAAATAATTTTTATCGTTTATTGTTGATGCATTTTTAATGAAATGTTTCTCCTTGACTTCGAATATTTTTTTTTACTTTCTACTATAAAGCCAGACTCTTTAAAATTCTGTTAATCTTTAAAATTTTTCATAACGAAAAAATAAATTTAAATATATTTTTAAGGCTCAGTTAGCAATAATATGAAACTTTTTAATACTTTTTTTTTGGTTTTTTTTTTGAATTTGTAAAGAAGTGACAACAAACTTTGTTTCAAAAATCCTTGCTGATGCTCATCAAAATCCTGTCAGCGAAGCAGTAGTTGTTTAAGTTTAACAAAAGTTTCCAAATTATTTGTGAAACATTTGCAAAAGAATAACGAAATTGTTTAATTTATAAAATGCGGCAAAAACTTTAAAATTGTAATTTTGTTAAATTATCAATGCATATAAAATTGGATGAAAGTAAAACGATGGTATAAAATTATTTAATTTATTAGAATTTACTTTTTATACTTAAACTTTTGAAAAGTTTTGCGATTGAGTTTAATGAGGTGCCTCAGAAAATGTGTCGAAATGTGAATAAATATGCAACTTTAGCAGTTATTTTAAGACAGCACATGGTTATGAATTTAATTGATTTTCCAAAGCTAAAAATAAATGCCGAAGGGTACTTCATATTGAAGGATAACGTGTTATGCACTCATTAAAATACAAAATTTCAGGTATTAAAATTATTATTAAAATCATTAAGACAGTTATTGAAAGTTTTAAGCTATTTTAATATGGAATTTGATAATGTTATACAGTAATTTAATAATAAAAATTAGAATATAGTAGGGTTCGAAGCATCTAGTGAAGCAGATCAGTGTAGCCATTGTAAATATTTTGTGCTACGACTCGTGGTTGCACCCGACACACCATCGTCTCATATCAGCTTGAATACTACTAAAATCTCCACTAAAAATAGATTAGATTTTGAAATTAGATAAATTAGCTAGTATCAGTCAAACTGGCAGTAATAAGGTACATTCCGAGTATTGCATTGCTCGGTTATTGACGTCTTGCTTGGTACATTAAAGTTAACAACCTATTAGATATCAAATTAACCTATATATTTATAATTTTAAATAAATTGTCTAACTGATGTATGATATATAGTATGCGATAAAGTTATTTTTAAGATAGTGATATTTATGTGACTGAAGTTTTTTCAGGATAGAGTTTTTCCGATATATATCGATTATGGATGAATACTATTATATATCAAATAGTTTTCATATCTTGTTTCTACGAATCATCTCCTCAATTTATATCATTTGGTGATATAATACATTTTATATTAAATGTCTACGAATATATAATATATATGTGATAAATATACTTATATAAGACAAATATATACAGATAAAAAACTTAACTGTTAACCTACAAATTAGTATAAAATATTCTTTTTACATTAAAATTAAAAAATAATAACTAAAAAGTTAAAATCTAAATTTTGACTCTATTTTTGTGAAAATTGTGACCCATTTTTTTCTTAATGATATAGTTATTATATAAATATTTTAGTTATTATAATGCTGAAGTATAATGCAAGCAACATTGAGAGAACAAATGTGAATAAATTGTGCTCTTTATTTTAATTTGTTATATATAAGAATTTAAAGGAAATGATGTCAAATGAAAAGTTTATCTCGAATTATGCAAAAAAATTTAGAAGCTTTATATCTATTCTGTATTTCTATGTTCCAAAATGCTTACATTTTTCTAAAAATAAAAAAAAAATAAAGTAAAAAAACATAATATATAAAAATATTATAAGTAAATTTTTATTTATTCATTTATATATCGTTTCAAAACTTTTATCTCCTAGAATTATGTAAAAATGAAGAACGAATAGTTTGTAATTGTACTCACCTTGAAGACCTGACGGCATAAAAAGTTCTCCTTAACTGGTAATAATCTGTGAAAATATTTCAATTTTTAAAGTTTGTCGTATAATGAAAAGTTTAGAAATTGAATTCTTTTATTTTTTGTAATATTTTTTTTTTGCAAACTTAAACTTACTTTGCCATTTCTGAGAGCTGTAAACGGCCATCCTTGTTAGCATCAAAAACTTGTAACTAAAGGAAAAAATTTAAAAGTTAATCAATTTATGTAGTTGAACAGAAGATAAAATAAATATTAAAAGAAAAAATAAAATATTAAAATCAATATAAAATTAGAAATATATACAACTTTTCAATGACAAAAAATGTTTGTTTCAGAAATGATCAATAAAATGAGCGTACATAATTTATTAATATAACTGTACTCAGTACATATTATCAGAAGCCTCACAAAACACATAGTATATATAGTTATATATTCAGATTCTTTGCTTGTATTGTATGAACAGTTAGCTTGTGGCACGAAAGAAAACCCAACACAGAGAAGTATGTCGGGTTTTCTTTCGTGCCACAAGCTTACTAGCCAACCGAATATAATATATAAACATATATATATATAAAATTTAAATACATATATCTATATATGTAATAACATGTAAAAATACACTAAACGGCGCCAAATATGGAGCTCGAAACCACAATTAAGAATCCAACCAATATTAAGAATCTAACGACTGAGCTTACTAGGCTGCAACCCTCGCGCAAACCAATCCGCGCACACAACACAGACCTAACCGCTCGTAATAATGGCGTCTAACATACCATATATAATTAATTTATTTAACGAAATATTTTAAAGCCAACCTCTTTTTTATCGGAATATTTAAAAATATTTAACTATATATCAAGAACTGTCTTATAAACTGATATTGGCTAGTGATACATTATTGAAAAGGATAATGTAACATAGAATATGGATATTATAGGATATGGGATATATAGTGTTAGGATATTGACAAATAGAAGTAAAACATCATTTTCACATTTTACTCAAATCAGTTTACAATTTTGATGCAAACTTTTTTTTTGAAAAATTTCTTCTCTGATGAATCTGATTGTTTGAATCTTGAACATTTGAATCTGATCAGGTCATACCAAAACTAGTGATGGACAATTCATAAAAACTAGACATACGAGGAGAAATCGATTCAAATTTTATGGATTTCTGGTTTTAATCGAATTGAAAGTAATGAACAGTTGGACGAACTTATAAGGAAAGAAGCAACAACTTGAATTGTAGGCCAAGAACCTTTTTGTGGTCTGACAAAAACTAATTTTTTTTAATTATTAAATAAGAAAAGAAATGACTATAAAAGAGTAGAAAAATAGACAATACTATACTGAAGCATTCTACCAATTCTATCACATTTCAAATCGCTTTAAGAAACCTACAACCTCAGTGTATATAAAGATTATTGGAAGGTTTAGAAAGATTAAGATTAGGAACGGCAATAGTATATTATGCGTTCTATTATTACCTAAACTATTTTTTCATATCGCTTGAAGAAATCTACAACCTAAGTGTATATAAAGATTGTTGACAGATTAAGAAAGATTAAGATTAAGAACTGCAGCAATAGGATATTATAGATTCTATTATCACCAAAATTAAACTACTTTTTCGTTATTTACAATAATAATTTTATATATTTAATTAACCGTGATTATCTCGTTAACGTAGATGTTGTTTCAAAAATCTTTTTAAATGTAGCAAACAATGGAAGAGAATATAGTAGAATTACTTTTATGCAAACCCCACTTGCACAAATGCCATTTTAAGTGTTCCCCTGTGAAAACAGGTAAAAAGTTTCACAACAGAAGTTTTGTATACAAATTTAACAATATTTTGTAAGCCCATTAAGCCTTGCATACTCGAAAACTTTAAAGAAAGTAGTTCTCTTTTATTACATTTTCTTTTTTTATTTTCCAAGAAAATTTTTTATGTCAAACTAAACGAAACACTAAAGAGGTGATTAAGGTTAATTTACATAAACACAACCCATGTCAAAATTGCCCTAAGAGTTGGAATATCAAAAATATGTTCACGAAAATTTAAAAGTAAAATTTCTGCTCCAAAGAGCCTTAGCACATTTGGTCAAGAATGAAATTTAAGTATTTTATATATATTTAACCCTGTAATATGAGGAATTGCCACAGAATAATAATATCAATTTAAATAAAAATAAAAAAGATATTTATACATAGATATCGAATTTTATTAAGTCATTTTATGTTCACTCTAAGACCGTTAAAAAAAAAATTGGAAATATATTGTCTAATATATCCGGTAACATTATTTTAAATTATTTAAAACCTTTTAATCACATCCCATAAGAGAATTGTGTTATATCAAATTTCATGTAGTGAAAAAGACATTGAATAATAAAACATAATTTTTAATTAAAAACAGCATTAAACAAACTCATTTCTACATAAACAAATAATCATTTCTAAAACATCATGCGAACAAATAAATACACATAATTAAATACATTTGATCCTTTGTGTCAAATACAATATACGAGTACAATTGGGTACTCTTCCTGCCGTTGGGGAGGCTTTTAATTACCCACAACTTATTTCCACTGAATAAAACTCATGCAACTTAATTTTGCTAATTAATGTCGCTTGAAATAAAGCAGTTTTACGGCGATGGCACGTGGGCACATAAATACAAAAACTTTGAAAATAAAAATGTGAAAGCCCCACAGTTTTGCAGCAATTTAAATGCCGAAGTAGTTGAGGTCTCATTTCCCTTTCTGTTATATTATCTTGTACCTGAGTGCTTGACTTTTATGTATCTCACACTCAAAGTCAATGTCAAAAGTTTGTTAAGTACACAGTGAACAATTAAACGTACGTAGAATTATGCATGCTGGGAATTGTGAGTTCTGCTTAGTGGAAATTACTTCATAATTTTTTTATCCATCGTATTTAAAGTCATTCCGAATGCACTTACTGTAAACAATCTCAAATGTTAAGTGTGGTTATGAAAAAAAATCTGTAGGGTTATTCGAAATAAGATTTTGATTTTTTTTTTGGTAAAATTGCGAAGTATATTTGTTCTCCACAGAAACCCTTCGAGGTAAGAGGAAATAGAAAAGCAGGATGTAATCCTAATCGCCTAACTCAGTTGGCTGACATCACTCTCATATGGGTTCCTCAAGATAGGAACATCGAAGGGAATGAGAAAGCTGACAGTTTAGCCCGCTCTGGTGCTTCCCTGGATTTGTCCCTGGCTGTAGCGGTTTATATTACCTTAGAGACCATTACTTTTTTCTAGTTTCTGCAATTTGCTAATAACAGTTGAAAAGCACTTAAGTCAACTTCCTGGTTAACATGACCCACCTATAATAGAAATATATCCACGGAACTCATCAAAAGAGATCACTTACTACAATTCTTTCTGATCATTGGAAACTGTGCATTCCTCATAATTCTCACAGCAGCAGTTGTGGAAACCCACACGAAAAAAGAAATCATAATACATTTCTTCTGTGAATGCCTGGATTTGACGTCCAGAAGATATATGTTAGGTTTTTAGGAAGATACTTATATTCATCGGCGAAGATGAAAGACGTGTTAAATTATCTAAATTCGGCGGGATGAATTTAGTGTTTATTCTCCTATACTAGGGTTCTTGCGAGGAATGTGGTAGCCAAACGGATTTATCTAATGGCCTGTCACTGCAGCCAACCAACCAATCCTAATCGCTTTATTATATACAAAACATATTTCAAAGCTGCCACCAAGGTAATTAGAGTCTCATCTATATTCTAAAGTTGACTATGAATAGTTAAAGGGATAATCGTAAAAAAGCTGACTCTGGTTACCTCATTTTCGATCTGGGATAAATCTGTGGTGATTTTTTTAAGCGAGATGCACTTTTAGTGCAATTATTATTTTGGATTGGTAAATATGGGGCAAAATGTATAACACTCCAGATTAATTTACAATAATTTAGATATTTTGCCAGAATAGCAAGATTACACTGAAATTAACAGCTATTTTAGATCATTAAACAGATAAAGTGTGATGTGATTCGACATATAATATGTAACATATTTATGAAAAATATAAATGTCTACTAACACTACTATAATAATGTTAGATTACTCTAAAAATGCTTGACTGGGTAACAAAATTTGACAGATCTAGAGTAAGTCTAAATTGAATCCAAATTTCTTAATCAAAAACGCAATTGCTATGTATTGTAAGAGACGATTAGAAACTTAGCTTAACTTCTCTATAATCTATTATCAAGAAAATTTGAGTTCCATCTGTATTCTAGAGATAAAGAGTAACAGATAAAAAAGTTGTAATCGAACTCTGTTTTCCATATATACACAAATTTTGTCGGTTATTACGAAGAGGTTTAGAAAAACAAAGTTTTAAGTTACTTAAAATATACAATCAAGAATATTGAACTTGTATCTATATCTTAGAGAGAATTAGAAACCGAAAAAAGGAAAGTAATCGTAATCAAAGAGACTCTAGTTTCTACATCCGAACACTTATTTTCAGTTATATCGAGACGATTAGAAAAGCAAACCAAAAGTTATTTGTAATATGCTAACAATAAAATTGGAGTTTCATTTGTACTTTACCGAGGATTAGGAAATAGAAATGGATAATATAAACGTAATAAAAGTGATTCTAGTATCCACATCAATAATACAATTGTTATCTGTTTTATTAAGACGATTGAAAACCGAAGCTTAATCAAAAATTGTGTCTGCCTTCAAAGAAATTAAAGTTGAATGTATATTTTAGAGATGAATAGAAACAAATAAGAGGAATGTAATTATAATCAGACTGTTATATCGAAACGAATAAAAACCCAATTTGAAGGCACATTAAATTTGTTGTCTGTTATACCGAGACGATTAAAATCTCAAGCTAAAGCTAACAAAAATTTGTTACTGATAAAATTAGAGTCCCATATATATTCTAAGGGTAGATCCGAAAAAAGAAAGGAAATGTAATTATAAATAAGGAAACTCTAGTTCCCACATTGACATGATTGTCATGAGTCATATAGAGATAATTGGAATGTAAGATAAGATAGGATAAGCATAAATTATCTAAAAGCAACCCAATAAAATTGAAGTAAGAAATAAGAGAGTGAAATAAGAATAGGGAAGGAATAAAATTATTAGCGAAATAAACATATCTAAACACATGTTATATATTTTTGGGCGATATTTCTTTTCTACAATAAGCTTTGTTTTGTGTACTTTTATACTTTTTTAAAGGGGTGTGACTATCACTGTCAACACTATCTACTAATCTATGCCTCACTATCATCACCTATCATTATTCTCTCAGTAATAAAGTTGCGACTAATATTTAAAAGACTATAATTTTTCGTATGGTGTTTAAAAGTAAAATGAAAGAACTTTCAAAGGAGTTATAAAACTCAAATTATGAAATCCCAACAATTTCCTTTAAATAAAATTTTATACAATATGCAACTATGTACAACTCTTACGTGCTTATATACATTTTGTGTTTTCCACGGTGTCCTAATTCAAATTTTATTTTTAAAGTTTTGTAATTTAAACTTGTTGGCATCAACGGCTGTTCGTAATATTTTATTTTTTTAGTACTTTTCGTTATGGCAATTATGTAGGAAGTTTCAAAAAGTCATAAAAAATATAATTTTAGTTGTTTGAGGTAGTTTCGAAACAGTGTGAAGTAGAAATACAATACAATCTGACGAGTTTTAAAAATTTGGTATAAAATAATGTGAATGAGTTACATAAATCAACAACAAAAATTTAAAATTAATTGGTCCTTTTAACCTAATTTTTAAAGTACTTTTAATAAAATGTTAACATTCTGCAAATTAAATATATTTTATTGATTTTTTTTATTAAAGATATTCATAAAAATAAATTTTAATACTATTCTCAAAATCTTAGTTATAACAAATCTGACTTGTGTATAGAAAGCCTGAAAAGTGAAAACTTCTAACATCAGATTGGTTCGCATATATAACTTCTACATCACAAGAAAAATATGTAGAGCTACTCAACCAGAAAATATATATAGTTTTAAGGTTGAAAAAGAAACTAGTAGGGTTTAAACAATAATGAAGAAGCAACAACAAAAATTTTATTATTTTATTGAAATTTGGCTGACCAATAAACTTCAATAAATTAATCAAATTTTTGTTGTTGATTTTTCATTGAATTCGATATAACGCTTAAATAGACGGAATAATCAATGACTAATGTCTCAAAAGATATATTGAATGACTATGCATAAGTCGTTTGGACCATGTGGTAAGAGTATATTTCGGCTGAGCAGTAAAACAAGCTTATGCTATAATCCCAATCGGTAAAATCGGAAGATAATGGTGGTCTCAGAAGAATGATTTGATACAGTATTTACAAATATAAAAAGACTAAAAATATCGGATTGGAAAAAAGTAGCGTATGATAGAAAATGATTGGAAGCTGTTATTGTTTCAAGATTGTTTTGATAAAAATAATAAATAAAGATTAATTTTTAAAAAAAAATTGCCTTTAGTTTTCGTGGTAATAATAGAGCCACTCAAGTATTTTCAGCACTGACTGTAAATTATATATCTGTTATAAAACAAATGTCAATCATCCTAATGTCTTCTGAAGAAAGCTGAATTCATTTTGATTTAATTAAATCATAAATAGAAATTTATATTTTTTAATGTCCTAATATCATTTCCTACTTGTTATCCTTCATTTTGTTTATATAACTTTACAATTAACATTATTTATGGCGAAAATCAAATAATTAGCAAGAAAACTCACATCCAAATCAAATAAGCAGCAAAATTTGTTAACATGTTGGGATATACTAGTTTAGTATAACACTAAGTTTTGTAATTTTAATCTCATTACATCAAAAATTAATTAACCATTGTAAGGGAATTACACTCAAACGTTTTGGAAAATTTCATTTTGGCATATACTTGGCTCATAACTGCAATTTGTGGTTTATGCACCAGAACATTACGCCATTCCTTCCGCTGCAATGGAAACCACACTGCAAACAAATGCCGTTTGTGAAATGCGGTATAAGTTGCATAATTTGTGGACAAATTTTCAATGTGTATGATATTCGTAATTATATACTACATATATATATAGACAGGGTGTTTCCAAAGTAACATAGATACGGGAGGTAATAATTTTATTCCAGAAACAGAAACTCGTATGGTTGGGGTAGGTTAATTTCTAATATAAGTTGAGATACAAAAAAAATTGTTTGATAATTGTGGGTTGATATATGAAAAATAAACGAAAAAAAAAATTTTTAAAATTTTAAATACTATGTAGGCCGTGTGCGAGTTCAAGTAAATTGAGGTAAAGTAAATTGAAATTTTTTAGGGATTTTTTGCACTGCACTTATATTACTTATTGCACTTATTTATTATTTTTGGTTAATGTTAATAGTTAATAGTTGGTAACATCTACTTCACTTAATTTTTATCTAATTTACCCTATATACTTTACTATGTCCCTCAATTTACCATCATTTATTCGAACTCGCATAGGGTCCTATTAATTTTTTTTGATAATTTGGCGCAATGTTTATATATAAAAGTTAACTTAAACCATAAAAATTTTCGAACCGACTTCAATATAAAATATTTTAGGCTTCGAGTTAACAAAAATTTAATGAACTATTTATTTTTAGTGCGGGTTACTATGACTAGACTTTATTTTGACACCCTGCATGCTGGTTAATATTGAAAATGACCTCTCTCTCATTACGAATTTTTCACTTTCTGCACCATTAAATCGCCTTCTCAACTTCTGTCAATTAGTTAGTTAACACCCTGTATGTAAATGGTCATATAAATGCTGTAGTAAGCATCACAAGTATAAATAAAGCTAATCCTTTAATGCACACGTGCGCTTAAACAATTTTAGATTGTCGCTAAATGCAAGGCATTAATTAAAATAAAATCATTTATGAATTAAGAGCAATTGGAAGGATTTAAGTTGTATTTCTATGGTGACAATTTAAATGCAAAATATTTAAAAATTAATTTCACAATATTATTTAATAATTAAATTATAAAAATCACTATCCACTTAATGTTAAAAACATAAACATATTTTTTCCACTTAATTTACTTTTGATGAACACCACAGAATCAGTTTAAAATACATTTTTTGGAAAATATTTTCATAGTAAAATTCATCTGATGTACACGGATATATGCACTCTCATTCACTCACCATTGTGTCAGTGTATTCAATTAATTTATCCTCGGAAACATCATTAATTTTTTTGGCCTCTTTGAGTAAATCGCGTAAAAAGTTTTTGAGTTCATCAGCTTCAATATAGCCAGAGTTGTCGGTATCATATTCACGCCATATCTGCAAAAAAGGAAATATTTTAAATATTTTAAACGTAAAAAATAGGTTAATAAAAAGCGAGCTAGTATCGTAGGGGTATATGTCAGATTAAAATATTTATAAAATATGCTTTTGCCTGCTATCGAATTCCGAGCAAAACACTGGAATAATGAAGTTGATATGTGTCAGGCTGTAGGTCTACTTATTTATCTTTCATACTCATTCAGTGTCAGCTGCGCGAACATTTCCTCTATTGTTTCGCCATTGAAATGACAACGGCTTCTTTTCACCATCAGTCAGGGTAGGCAGAAGGCAAAAGGAAACTAAGTTATGGAAACTGCAGAAATATGGTGGCAAATGAGGCATTGTTTAGGAAACTGCTTTCTTGAAATTTCTTCTTTTTTTCTTCGTTATTTATTATTTAATGTTTAAAATTTTCTTTTTACGCGAAGCTTTTCCAAGTCATTTACCAAGGAAATTTGTGAAAAATATGTGCACACATTTTCTTTTGTTTCGAAAGGATCAAAAGGCACAAACTTCTTGTTTATCATGGTGTCATATAATTAATAAAACCGAATTTATTTCTATTGTTTTTTTAAATTAAAAACTTGTTGGTTTATTAAATTAGGCACGACTTTAGACGGGTGAAAATTCAATGTGGTTTTTCATCAAAAAGAAGATTGTATCTACACTCAGAAAAATATACTCTAACCACTTGCAAGTTAAATTGACCCGATCAATTTTGTTAGAAAAATTTTATCTAGTGTAGTAAAGAAGATATGAAAACCAACATGTGGTATGGTTAAATATTTAGACTTGATATATAGTTAAAATATGGTTAAATGGTTAAACAGTCCATAAAACGAGGAATATATATTATTATAACTTAAGGGTAAAATTTAACTAAAGTAAAGTAAATTATTCGAACTCTTCTAACTTTTAAATAGTTTTTTTGTCGTCATTAAACACGTCTTTTTTGGCAAACAAAAAATTAATATTAAAATATATTATGTTTAAGGAGACTTAAAATATTGCTTCTTCGAACAAAATAAAGAAAACGAACCGACAACTACTTTTAAGCTTCAAAATAATTTATTTATGCAAATATTTGCAGAAACCTTTAAAATATATATTTAACAAATATAACCAGTGTAAATCTTTAGTTCTTTATTTTTAAGATTTCAAAGGTATATAAAAATTTTTCATTAAATGAGCTGGACCCGAGTTCGATTTCTGGTACTTGCAGTCTCAAAAATAATTATTTACGAATAATTAAATACAAGAATTATTTCCAAGACCACTGATGATGGGTATTTGACAATACTCGAAACAGCTGTATGGTCAGCCAAAATTTTTTGTTGTTGTAGTTCATTACTATTCGAAAAAATATATTTACGAATAATGATATAAAAAAATATTTCGAAGACCGCTGATGATGGTATTTGGCAATTTTTGAAACAACTGTATGGTCTGCCAAAAATTCAATTTATTGAAAATAATAATAAATATTTGTACCAGCTGTATGGTCTGCCAAAAATTCAATTTATTAAAAATAATAATAAATTTTTGTTATTGCAGTTTCACTACTGTTCGATAAAAACCTCTCTATTGAAAACAATAGTTTATAACAGAAATTTAGATTTTGTCGTAAAAACGAACATTAAAAATCATATTAATATAAATGTATATTATTTAATTCAACTAAAACTGTGTAGCTAAGTATCCTACTCTTTTAATTTGGTTCATTGCGAACTGCGACAAATGTAGTTTTTTTTATCACTCCCATAGTGTTTTACAGCACTACTATTTTTGTTACAACGTGTTATGATTCGAGACTTGAACGAATTATGCAAATTGCGTTCTTTGAGGGTTCCAACTATAGTCACTTCTGGTTTTACGCCTATTTATTTATACCGCTGTCATGCTATTACACTTCAATTCAATTCACAACAACTAAACTATACATACTTCTGCACGTTTATAAACAGTAAAATCAGCTATAAGACAATAAATGGACATAGAGCTGCCACCTGTTTGAAATTTAAAGCAAATTGAAATATTTGGCAGTTTCATACATATTTTCTTAAAGATATTAAAACTCAAAAATGGATTAAAATTAATTTGCACATTCTATAGGTTGTATTAATAATTTGTTTAAGACGTTTAAACTAAATATAATAATATAATAATTTATTGATACAGTTTATTATTTTATTAAAAATAATTGTGAAATAATAATTGTGGAACAATTATGAAATTATAGTGTTTTTATTTCTATTTAAATTGACCAATTACCCCATTAATAAATTATTATATATTTTTTTTTGGTCACAAATAATAGTATTAAATATTTTTTAAATATAAAAATAAAATCGAAATCAATGTTTATTTTTTTAAACATTAAATACTTTAAAAAAGTGATTAAAAATGTCATTATTTTCTATAGGGATTCATATAACCTAATATAATTACCTTTCTAAAAATGTTTTTGTTACACATCATAACAAATTTTAATTAAATCCAACTTTATGAGCTACTCCCTGTACTATACTTTGACATTTGACTTTTTAAAAAAATATATATACAATATATATTGGAACGTCATATTAGGGCGGTTACTACAAGATATCTATATTGTTCACCATATCATTATAACCAATAACATGGATTTTTTTGACCTTCAGTAAAAATGTGTTATAAAATAATTACTAACATTTAAATACTCATATCACTTTTCAATGTTTTTATTTTACACTAAAGTTTAATAAACTTTTTATGGTTATAATTAAAATGCAACAGAAGATACTAAAATTTTTTCCTTTTATTTGTGATGAAACTTGCAAATAAATTCAACAAAATAATCTCAATAAAGTTTGCCTTAAGAAGTCAAGGATCAAACTACTAGAGTTAAATACTAGCAATTTTGCAGCAAGTAAAGAGCTTAGTTTCAGCTTAGAAGAATATTTTCTTGCAATTTATAAAATATTTGTGTTTTCCAACAAATGCTGACACAACTTACCTTCATAAATTCAACACTGGATTCCAATGGATTATCGAAACGGAAAAGTAGCAAGAAATTTTCTTCCATTGGTAAAAGTTGAGCAAGCTGAAAATATGAATAAAAACATATATGAGAAATTTCAATATATAAAAAAATATATATAAGCAGATGATTATATTATACTAGTTGCAATATTATTAAATATTTTTAATATTTTTTGAATTTTTTGTACTTCCTATTTAGCTTTCAAATTTTATGCCAAAAATAATTGTGAGATAATACAGATTTTTATTAGTGCTTTTGTATAACTACTAAATTCGCTCTCTGATAAAGGATTCCACACCCTTCTTAAATATTTATATATATTTCATTAGATTTAATATTCATTTTGGCATGCAATATAACCCGTATAATGCAATTGTTAGCATAATTTTTTATATTGTTTCTTTTTTTGTGTCATTTGAATTAAAAAATAAAGAATTTAGCATACCGTTTACACTTGGTTTATTGTTTTCCGAAGTGAAAATCAACATAAAAGTACCGACAAATGCGGTAATTATGCCACTTGAGCTTTAAGCACATACACACCTCAGAAGTGCTCCTAAGCAAACGAATGCAATATAGTCACGCAAGGATCACAGAATTTGTTTGCAAAGTTATTTCGTGCGTGAAGTATCCTCTCGCATTTGCCACAAACCCGCTTAGTCAAAGTCAATTGGGGTCACATGAACGCCATGGCATTATAGAAACGTTTCTAGTTTAAAAAAATAAAACTCATATATGGATTGTTTAAGCAAACTTTTTGTTCCACACATGTGAAAAGTGAATTTTAAGTTTCTATGATTTGTGTTATATATCTGTGCTACATATTAAAAAATACTTTAGATCAGAAGTATGTAAACTTTTTAAGTAATGAAAAACAGAAAACCGTCGAAAATTGAAATTCAATGCAAAGCACTAAATTTTGTTTTGCATTTATATACTTTGCTCAATGGAAATAATCCCACCTTTTTGGAAAAGAAAATATTTATTGGTATTATGGACCAATAAATACACCGCCATCCATAGTTTGAGAAAATTTGAGGAAAAAATATTGAATATTTAATTTAGCATTTGATATTTTTAAACTTTAACTATTTAAAAATTGTTATATATATTTACTTAACTATATACGGATCTTCATCTAAAAAGAACATGGACAAAGCCAACGTTGAATGAAATAAATACAGTTTTGCCTTAGCCCCTAAGAGGAAGAATAATCAACATTACTGATATAAAGAACATAGCGTTGCGGCCCGAAAGAATTTATAAGTTATCTATGCTCAAAATAAGAGGCTGCACGAAATCATTGACGTCGAGCAAGGCTTATTATTAATATTATTATTATTATATACGAATCTTAATATATAAAATTAGCACTTCTTACAAGCCAAAGTTGTACAGCCGTATACCAATATACGTTAGCAGTATTATATGTTCTCTTACTTCAATTTTGAAATTGAAAGCAATGTGGAGCATTTAATTATTTCTTTATCAATTGGGTGTTGGTTAGTTCGTGTCGTGAAAGCAATGCTCCACATTGCTTTCACGACACGAGGAAGAAATCGCGGTTGCCCAAGGACAACATGGGGAAGAACCATCAGTAAAGAACCATCAGTAAAGAACCATCAGTAAAGAACTATCAGTAAAGAACCATCAGCAAATCATTTAGTGAGCTAAGAGCAATAGCGCGCGATCGTAGTAATTGGAAATCTCTTGCGAATAAACTAAATTAGTCGGTACGTTCCGTAAGAACTTAAGGGGACTTAAACAAAATGTACAACCAACCACACCTGTGTATTTGATAGGAACAAACTAAATAAAGTTCGCCGCGTTTGTTTGTTTCATTCCTGTCATACACAGATATATTTGGTTGTGCATTTCGCTTTGACTTAAGTTCTTACGGTACGTACCGATTAACTGAACCTTAAGTTCATAAATGTTATTTCGAAACATGTCAATAATAACAACAATAATGCTTTTATATACTCAATTGTTGTATAATTTGAATATAGCAACACTAAAATCCATTGCACTCATTCTTTTATTCTTACTCTTATAAGCATTCTTACTCTTATATACTCGTAATAATATTCCAATATCTCGTTTATTTTAAGTTGGCTTAATAAAGATATTAAACGAATACGATGGTGTTCTTCGTTGCGTTGATATTGGTTGATCCCCATGTGAATAACATGTTTTTGCTAACATGAAGCTATTACCAAACTACCAATTAATATAAATCTATAGTTCGTCACATTTTTTTTGATATACCTGTCAATTATATATGTAACAGTGCTTATGATTTTGTATTCAGTACTAGATATTGAAGTTTAAGCTATAAACTAACATGAAAATGTAAAATAACTATATATTTATAAGGTCCAACCTTGAAAGTTCATGTACATGAAGGCTAGAAACTCAATTCATTAGAAAAACTTTTATATTACATGTACTTTTTCAAAGATCGAAGAGTATAGTTTTACTTATGGTGAGATGTTGGGACAGCGCACCGTCCAACAAGTGACCTCATTGAAGTGAAGGATTAGCCGAAGTAGGCAACGCAACTACTTGGGTCCTTTTTCGTTCTTCTATTCTCGGATGTCGTTATTGAGTTAAAGCTGGAGAGCATGGTTTAATACTCTACTACTTTATAATCTAATAAGTATCAAAGTATTGAAGTGCGAATTATAAACCATAACATATGGTCGTAAAGTAATTATATTTTTATAAAAAAGTATTTTTATGCTTTTATATGCAACCAACCTGTGTATGGTACAGCCCCTATGCTTCATGGATAGAACGAAAACTCTGCCTCCACTCAAACCCACGAATCAACTATTTGAAATAGCTGTATGATCAGCTTAATAGTACATTTATACTATCCCATTTATGCACTTGCTAATTTATATTAATTAGTGAACGTTCACTTTATAATGACCTCATTTATGCAGCTGATAGAATTTTTATAAACATCGCTTAATAATATATCATAAGAAAGAATTGTATATATAATCGATATATTAAATCATTTATATACATTTTATATATCAATATCAGTATTCAATTCATAAAAACAAAGATTTTATTAAATATTTACTTCCTCAGTGCCTTTGTTTACAGCTCAGCTGTTGTTTGTTTACATTTTTTATATAAAACATATGATTTCCCTTTGTGAAATTTATTTTATCAAAAATTAAATTTTTGTTTTTTGAAATATTCTTACTTTCTTCACTCTTTATAAGCTACTCTACTCTAAGATAAATTTTTTATTATAAAACATGAAATTTGACTACATTCTTTATTATAATACAAAATATGTCATATCATATAAAACTAAATTAAACATTCCTGACTTTTTATAATGGAAAGATATAATACACAGCAAGTTTTTTTATACTAAGCATAATAACTTTGTAACGATTAAAAATTTATTTATATAAAAATATTCTAGTAATAAAATAATTTTTAAATATATATATATATATATATATGTCTATATACATCTTTAAGGAATATTTTAAATATTCTACCAAAAAGTTTACTTATTTAAATAAATTTTTATTTATCGCAGTTTTCCACTTTCTTAGCTTACAAGTTTTCAGCGTTAAGAATTTAGCTGATCCATTGTAAGGAAATGTTCTTTTCTATTTCAAAAAGAAAGTTTTGGCCTTCTTGGGTGTGTTAAGTATCCTTGCGTTACTCAGCATAAGTCCGCGTAATGCTCTTAAGAAAGTTTTATGCAAAAGGTTTGTGCTGCATTACATTGAAATTTAACAAATGCATTTGCTGCGGAAATTCAACAAAACTTGCAAAATATTTCAATGATTTTAAATAAAAGAAGGAATATGAAAAATAGAATTTTTAAAAATTTTACTTTGAAAACTTGTAAATTTTGGTTTATTAAATTTGGCAAAAGAGAAGTATTCAAATTAGCAGCTTTTAGTGAAGTGATAATAAGAAACAAAAAATACTAAAATTATCGTCGAGGTTTTTGGATGACTTTATTTTATGGGAAAAAAATTTTCCTTCCCTTTTTCTTTTGAATACCATTATTAAAAATAAACAATTGTATTTAAAATAAAATAAAAAACGGCATCAAAAATATATTTCTATTGAATAAAATACAATAATGTTGATAATATTTAAAATTGATTAAACTCAAATTAGCAACTTTTAGTGAAGTGATAATAAGAAACAAAAAAAATACTAAAATTATCGTCGAAGTTTTTGGATAACATTATTTTAGAGAAAAAAAAATGTTCTTCCCTTTTTCTTTTGAATGTTATTATTAAAAATAAACAATTGTATTTGAAATACAGTAAAAAAAGTCATCAAAAATATGTTTCTGTTGAATAAAATACAATAATGTTGACATTATTCAACAGTCATTTGCTCTTCATTTAATTATTTTCTAAAATGTAGAATGTGTGGTCCAAGTTATTATAATTCATCTGTTAATGCGAGTATAATATAATATAAACACGAAAAATAAAGAATTAAAACTCGCATATATCTTAAACGAATTTGGCGGCATGGGTCAGTTGGTTAAGAAGCGCTGACTCTGAGTTTCAAATTTGGCAGGGCACGAGTTCGATTCCTGGTACTTGCAGTCTCAAAAAATTGTTTACGAATAATTAAATATAAGAATTATTTCCAAGATTACTGATGAAGGGTATTTGTGCAATATTCGAAACAGCTGTATGGTCAGCCAAAAATTCAAATAATCAAAATAATATAAAATGAATTTTTGTTGCTGTAGTTCACTACTTTTTAAAAACCTCCTTACTAAACGAATATAGCTAGCGATGTAAAGAATACATATTTTTATCTAACAACTAGCATTAAGTTCTAAAACAAACAAAAATTACTTCGAAAAGAACCTAAAGAAACTAACAACGTGTATCATTATAGTTAGCTATTCTTGAGTTAATATAAATTATTGAAGAGAGATGTTTTAAATAATCAAAAAATCACAAGTCGGCTTAAAAGGTCGCAAAAAATAATTGAAACAGTATGAAGTATCAGTTTTCATTACGATTAAAGCTTTAGAGAAGCTTTAAATG